GCTTTGCTTTGTGGACACTTATATTATGTAAGACAAATATATATATATATATATATATATATATATATATACACACACACACATGATGAGTTATATACAATATATATATATATATATATATGTAGTTCAAGAAAAGTAGCACATGTGAACCCTACTTCACGCCAATCCAAATACTTGGGGTTGGCAACTCTTGTTTTATACTCTTTGAACAAATGCAATACTCTCCTTCATGCAATAATTATATATAACTTTCTACTTGAAGGGGAGGTAGGAGGGTTATTATGTATCACGATTAGGGTTTTACGGAGTTTTGTGTTACGTATAGAAAATTAGTAGCTTTCAAAACAAACATAAATGAATTTACACGAAGATCTTATTTATTAATAACGATAATTTTTTAATAAACTTAAAAGACAGAATTTTCACAAAATTAACTTTTTTGTTACAAAGACGAAACGACATACTGAAATTAAAATCCTTAATTATTATCGAAACTTAAACGATCAAATACAATTAGGAGATTCGAGGCCACATTTTGGGGGGAGTTGAATAGCCTGATCAAAGTTAATGCCGTAAGCACCCAACAAGGTGGAGCCCTTGAACTGGCAAAAGCAAGACAAGTCGGCAATGGAGAGAGCGGAGCAGCACTCGGCCGTAGGCGGCACTGCGTTTTGGCCACTCACCGACGGCTCGCACGCCTTGAAACCCTTAGGGCTCATCCCACAAATTTGCCCGCGTGCTGCCTTTGCCTCCACGGCGAGCACCATTAAGAAAGCTACGATCACTATGTTTTTGTATGCCCCCTCCATCTCTATCTTCTCAAGTTTAGTGTGTTCATAGCCTTAGCTTAGCTTACCTTATATACACACACCCAAATCACCCTATAGTATTTTTAAACTATTAATTAATCAATTCATGGCGACCACCCCCATAATGTAATGTATGTTTATATATACATATATATATAAATGTATGTATAGCACGGATCCGGATTTGAGGAGTCACAAGGCAGTATAATCTTTTGAATGATGACAAAGTTGGAGTTAGCAGATTCCCATTACCATGGCTTACATATGGTCACATTGTGTCACGGGCATACCTTGATAATGCTATTAATTAATTAGTATTAAGAATAATTATTTTTTTTATAAACTATAGTATAATCTTATATTAAAAAAAATAAAAATGTTATATTACAACAGTAGTTGTAACAAGTGTCAAATTTTAATAATTTGTTTTAAATTATGGTTTATCTAATACGGGTCGGATCCTAACGTGTCTAAATTGAAAATTTAATGGGCTGATCTACCAAATTAACCGGGTGAAGGGCCCAATTCCAAACCCCGGGTTTGTGAACGCCGCACGTGTCAGCACGGCTCACGTTGCTTCAACTTACAAGGCACGTGCCGACACCCGTACGTGAACTGTTGTTTGGTCGCCTTAATTTTCCAAGAGTTTGAAATTTGCCGAAAGTTCATGTCTTTTCTTTTAAGTAGAATAATCATTGCATTACACTTTGGAAATTCGTATTCATTCAAATCTATACGTACATACATACATACATACATGCATCTTCAAATTATATTTGAAAATATTTATTTATCAGTAACTTGGTAAACTTTTCTACGTGCGGTCAATTCCAAATGATAATTGATATATACATACATACACACACACACACATATATATATATATATAGTTATATCATTATATATGTTTGTATAATTACACACCAAATAACCCCAATAACTTGGTAAAACTTTTCTACGCGTGGTCAACTCCAAATAATAATTGATATATACACACACACACATATATATATAACTGTAATTTAATAAGTTTTAAAATTATTTCAAGTTAATTTTTAATTTTATAACATTCAAATTTTGTTTTAATTTCTTGAAACTACGGAGATATATACATATAATATATTAGAATCCATGCATAAATAATTAAAAAAAAATAAGAATAATTTTAAAAAGTAATTAAATTTTGTGATTGATTTTTTTATATAATTGATTTATCACTACCTCTTGCTTTGTTGGACCAACTAGCTAGGTACGTAGCAGGTGTATGTATATGTGTATACACACACACACACACACACACACACACATATATATATATATAGAGGGTACCCTTTTGCGTACACTCTTCTCGACAACTTAATTAACAAGATTAAAACAATATATATCATTGGTCAAGATAATGTATCATATATATGTCTCTGTGTGTGTGTATATATATGTGTGTGTGCATATAATTACTAATTGGAATATTAATATTGCCTTTTAATGGAACTCGTATATCACATACAATAATCATAAACTTTACTTTAAAGGCAAATTATATGACTAATTATGTTTTTAATATGTACGTATGTAGGCACGAATATATGTGCCGATTATGATAGTACATATCGACATTATAGTTATAATATATAATATGATATGATGTATATCCAAATAGTAATTACGAGATTTAATCCAGTCATTTTAATACGTTAATTTTTATTAAATTAAATATAAATATATTAATTACTAATTAACGTGTTAATTACTATATTAGTGCCTTATTGTAATAGTTAAAATCGTATATACATGAGTTGATAAGAAAAGCAAGAGAAGCCGGGTGGGGGGGGTGCTTGAGTTATGAAGCACGTGACGGAAGAATCTTTAGTGTGGCGTAGCGTGGATAGTTTTCAAAACCTCGAGAAAACGGAAACCAGTAATTTAACGACACGTGTTCGACAGGGGGTGACGCGGCTTCCTTTGAGACATTTTGGGGGAGGCAATGATTTGATTTCGATCTTAATTCAGTTTGGTCTGGATTTCGTTAGTTGTTGTGTCGAAACCTTCTTTGTCCAAAACACCCTCGGGATTTCGCTATTATTACGATTTAGCCATTCCCGTTTTAAATATTTTATTTTAATTTTTTATAAATTAAAAAAAAAAAAACAATTACGTTCTAATTTTTACCGTCTACGCGATGTGATTACAGTATTTCTCTCATCGTTGAAAATGGAGGACTGTTTTCTCTTTCTTGGCTAGCAAGTCTTGTCAACATATTTCAAGTTTCGGAATTTAGTATAAATATAAAATGGTGATAGCTAGAGAATGTATCTATCCATCCTTGGAAGTATATATATATATATACACACACACACACAAACACGCACACATATATACATATCCAGACCAGCTTTCTCTTTCAATTATTTGAGTTCAGATACCCACGTACTTTTCAGGCTTGATTCATCAAATTCATCTTCGGCAACTTCAATAACAACAAATTTATCAAAAACCAGGTACGTGACTGCTTTTTCTCATTATATATATATATATATATTTATAGTATGCATGTACATATTATAATTAATTAGAACACAAACTCGAGCTGCTAATTTCGTCATTGAAATTTTAACCTCGTTTAGAAGAAATTTAAGTAAATTTGTTTACAGTGCAGATAATGTGGGTATGCGTATACATATGTATATGTATGTACATTCGTGTTTCGGTAAAAAAATTGAGGAAAACACGAAAGGTGGCAGTAAACTTGTATGTGTGTGTGTGTGAGTGCCATTAAAGAGCTTTGTTTTTTAATAATTGAAGAGCTTTAATTGCTTGTATTCGCTCTTCCTGGCTTGGAGCTCAAGCTTCTCCCTTCCTTAAAACCTGATTTCTCTTTTTTCTCTGGTAACCGTTGCTTTTGCGCGTTAAAACTGGAGTCTGGAAAGAGAAAACAATAAAAGATATATCACAAACAGTAGACGTTGCTTCCCGCGTTTTCCATCTCTACAATTCTCTTTCCTTTTTTTTTTTTTTTTTTTTTTTTTCCCCATGCGTGCAAGCTATTTATTTCTCCCTCACACATTAGATCAGAAAAAATAATTAAATTCATCAAACAAAAATAAAGAAAAACCCATATCATAATCCTCATTTTTTCTTTGGTTCTTAACGGTTTTAATTCTCTTTAAGCTTCTTCCTTCTTCAATCACCTCTACTTCTTCTCATCAGCTTTTGCTTCATCTTTTGTACTTTCCTTTTTTGTAAACAAACCCTCATTCTCTACCTCACTTCTTCTCTTTGCTGCTTTTGGTAACTTGTTTTTTCCCGATAAGATTCGCAGGCGTGATCTTCGTATCTCTTCTCTCTCTCTCTCTCTTCTTTTTTTTTGTTAAAAAAAAAAAATTCTTGATGTATATAATATATGATTATAATCTTCAATCCTCCACTTCAAAATCTCGAAAACCCAAAGGAAAAATCTAGTTTTCATTAATTGCTTGTGGCTTTTTGTGATGAATTCCGCTTTCCTTAGTGTATCTTTGACCAATATATATATATGTGACCGGATATTTCATTGGTTTGGTAAAGTGGGTATTTTTCTGGTTTTGCTACGTATTTATATATGTGCTCTATCTTTGTAGATTAATTCTGTGTGTAAAGTTTTGATCTTGAATTTAAAATCTTTGTGGGTGGGGTCAAATTGACCAAAATCATGGTTTTTCCGATTTAAGTTTGAGCTAAAAAGAGATCCGAGATCTTGTTTTTGTTTAATCAAAATTGTTCATTTTGATTTGGGTTTTGGTTCATTCAACTATTAATTTTCCTTCCGCCAGATCTCTTGCAATGGGAAGCCATATGAGCAAGAAGACGACAGAACAAGCTCAATCATCAAATTCGGCAATCACCCTCAACGCCAACTTGCATTACACGACTGAGCTGAGCTCCTACGAGGCAGCTTGCCGAGTCGACTCAGACTTGCAGACGTTCGACGCCAACCTCCACGCTCGTACCAACCACGTCATAAACTCTCTGGCCGTCGGCGTCGAGGTCCGTGCTCTCTCATTCGATTCGTTAAAGGAGGTGACCGAGTGCTTGTTGGAGATGAACCAGGAAGTCGTCAAGGTAATCTTGGAGTGCAAAAAAGATATTTGGAAAAATCAAGAACTGTTCGAGTTGGTCGAGGAGTATTTCGAGAATAGTCTCCAAACTCTTGATTTCTGCACAGCATTGGAGAAGTGTCTGAAAGGAGCCCGAGACAGCCAGCTGCTGATTCTTGTTGCTCTTCAACGATTCGAGGAGGAGAGCAGCGGACCCAGCAGCAGCCATAGATATGTAAGAACTCTTGAAGAACTGAAGAATTTCAAAGCTGCAGGAGATCCATTCACAGAAGAATTCTTTCAGATCTTTCAATCTGTTTACAAACACCAGTTGTTGATGCTGGAGAAGTTGCAGCTCCGAAAGAACAAACTAGACAAGAAGCTTAAGTACATTCACGCATGGAGGAAAGTTTCTAGCATGATCTTTGTGGCAACTTTCGCCGCCGTTTTGATCTGCTCCGTTGTGGCGGCGGCCATGGCTGCACCTCCTGTAGCTGCAGCTCTTGCAGCTGCTACGTCTATACCTTTAGGATCGATGGGAAAGTGGATCGATTCCCTGTGGAAGAACTACGAAAACGCTTTGAGAGGACAGAAGGAGGTAATCAGCTCGATGCAGGCCGGTACCTATGTTGCCATTAAAGACTTGGACAACATCAGGGTATTGATTGATCGGCTGGAGATCGAGATCGAATCTCTGTTGAAGACGGTGGATTTTGCAATCGAGGAAGACGCTGTGAAAATCGCCATTGAGGAGATCAAGAAGAAGCTGGGTGTGTTTATGAAGAATGTGGAAGATTTAGGGTTGCAGGCTGATTTGTGTAGCAGGGATATTAGGAGGGCGAGGACCGTGGTGTTGCAGAGAATCATAAAGCCTCCCAACAACAACAACAACAACTGATCATCAATATACTCATCGAACATTCATAGGACTCGTGATTGTCTTAATTTATTCTCTGCTTGGTTTAACTGGTTGGAAACTCAACATTTTCAGATTCTTTGTTTTAATTAGTTCTACAAATAATGACGTCAATTATAATAGCTAATGTATTCGTTTGTTTTAATTTATAAAGTAGTGGGTACATTTTTTATTTTTCAAGAAAATAATTTCATTAAGTCTTTAAATTACTATCTCCTATAACTATTTAGTAGTAATAATAGATACATTCTTTTTTATTTTTTATATAAAAGTTTGTGAATTCGAGTGTATTTTTATTTCCAATTCTTTCTAAGACTATGTTTTTGTCATTAAATTTTTATTTTAAATTATAATTTTTTTTTGTCAAATAATAATTTCTTTTTCCCTAGTTCAAAGCTTCCCCAAGTTATTCTTTACATTAATAATGAAGTTGGCTTGGTGGGATCTTCTTGTTTTGGCTATATTAATGATACATAATATCTCTATATATATATAATTATATACAGCAAAAATTTCAATATGTATATATATATATATATATGAGACGACATCATGATTGCCGGACATGGTTCCTACATAACTATGATTTGTTATAACCTTAACCCATTTAAGGGTTGTGTGGTCCAAGCGAACAAACATCTGACTCATCCTGACTACCATTACTCCATGCGTCTCTCTCTCTTTTGTTTTATTTGTTAACCGAAGCGGAAGAAACCTCCATAAAACGATGTCGTTTCGGCATGGGAAACGTAGCGGTTCACACAAGGGAAGCTGGGTTTGCTCAACGTGCTGTAAATTGGATAAGATCCAATTTTTCAAAAGAACAAAAGCACAAAGTCCTTACTCCTTAAAACCCATTCGTCTTGGACAATACTTAACACAAAAATTAAGTCTCACAACCTCCACCTCGCCCAAGAAAATTGACAATCAAAGGATGAAAGCAAAGAGTTTAACAAAAGGGAAATGCAGACAATCATTAGATCCAATACATACCAGCAGCATTACTCCGTAAGCAGCAGCAAATACAAACTTTGCAAATCAAACGAACACCCTCAACGAACTGCTGTCATTATAACGATCGTTCTCCACCGAACGCGTTCCTCAAATTCCCAGACACTACATGTGCCCACCATATGAAATTGTGCAGCTTCCACCATCCAAATAGAGTAGAAAAACAAATAAAATAAGTGATGAAATTACTTTCACTGCCAAGAAATTTTTTTTTTTCCTCTGCCGCTCATGAAAGGCAGTACATATTAATAATAATGCATGTTCAGCATTTAGTGAATCTGCGATTAAACATGGCTTTTACATAGCGAATAAGAGGCACGGGGCGAATATTGAAATGGGTAGCAGAAGCCAGATAGGTACAGGCTAAAGATACGTAAATTTTGAACCAAACGGATGTGGAAAAGGTGAAATACGTGCATGTGCTAGTCAAGATAATCACTGACAAAAAATTGACAATGCACTTCATTGTAGAGAGATCATCTTCTGTTCCCTCCTGAGGGAAATGACCCTCTGAATAAAAATTACCAAGCAACTGATCCTTTACCTGGAATCTGCCCATCAGCCATTCAGCAACCTCCTCCTCAACTGTTGGAATGTCGCCTGGCTTAATTCGTTCGATATGAATGTGAACTTCAGAAGGGTCAACCCCAAAGACGTTATCCAAGAGAGATGGGCACCGATTTTTGTATCCGATGGTCACATCATAGACTACAATCCATAGAAACCAAAATTAAAAAGATCAATCTTCGAGTAAAATTATGGAGTACTTATTCATCCAGCACCGAACCAACCAAAAAACAAAAAAGATGAAGTAACTAAAATCTGGACTTGTTAACTAAACAAATAGACCAAAATGTTAATCGGTAGTTAATCACACTCAAAGTCCATCCTCTCCCACTGGAAGCAAAAGATTGCTATATGCCTTTTCTAAGATATGAATGAACTGAACCATATTACAAGTAAATAATGCGATGCAAGTGCTGAAAATAATGAAGACCATAACAAAGATCAGAATGTGTTTTCAGCTCCTTTCTGGTTTTTATTGCTTCAATTTCATGATTGTAATAGAAGGTTGGACATCAGTTTTGAGAATGATTAAGTCCTTAGGATCGTGACGGTTACTGGATTTGGTTTAGCTGATGAAATTTATACTTTACCTGATACAGAACAGGAAGAATCTAAAGTTAGACATATTTCGATAAATAAGGTATATTTAATAGTTGTAATTTTATGTATTACTAAAATATTACGTTTTTAAGAATGTTCACCTATAGACTTATTATTAATGAGTTTATTATTTAGTTAGGATACTACTTAGTTTGTTCTCTATTATGGTTTATTTAATCAAGGAAATCTTTCCTACTTAGTAGAGTTTCTACATAGACTTTCACATGCAGTAGTACCTCAAGTAGCAAATCAGTAACTACAACAAGAAAATAGGGAGGGCAGAAAAGAACAACCTGCATCCAGAGAGCCCCTTAGTTCTTCCAAGCAGGCATGGAAACCTTTTGTTTTTGGAAGCAGCACATTATTGAGGATAGGTAAGCCTCTTTCAGCAGCATATTTTTTACTCCGAATGCATTTCTGGTTGCTGCATTTAAATTGAAAGAAAAATATCAATTTTCTTAAGATTTGCATCATAAGCTCCAGAAGCAAAAACATTTAAGAATACCAAGGAAATAGAAGGAAACGGAGACCTAACCAACAACTCAAAAAGGAATAATTTTCTTGAGAAGCAAAAAGGGAATAATAAGAGCAATTACGTGAAATCTGTGCCTTCTGGGAAAAGGGCAAGCCATAGAGGATCTCGAGGATCCTTAAAAGTTGAGAGCATTTGGCGCAGGTTTGGTTCATCAAATTCCCACTTCCTCTCCACTGAGATGAACTCCAAAATGTAGAATCCCCAACCAAATATAGGCAATTTCATCAAGCTGCTTTTAAGGACATATTTTATATATCCCAAGCATTCTTTCCGTAACGCAAGGTCCCAGAAGTACATCCAGTCAACCTCTGTCCTGTGATTCGCAATAAGCAAGACACGTTCCCTTGCAGGAACATTCTCTCCAGAAAAAACAACTTTAGTATTGTTTATTTTTTCAAATAGAAATGGCCACAAGGCGAGCCAAGCACTGAAGAAAAAGGATGTGGTTTTTCGGCTGCAATGTATGCTGAAAAGTCGCAATATAACAGCACCAGGAAAGCCACAAAACACTAGCATCACGAAAGCTGTTGAAAGTAACACCAGTAAACATATTAGACCTCTGCACACCCTCAGTGGGGTCAATGGGCGGTGCCTCATTCCTTCATTTGAACTTAGAACACCTTTTACTTCCATATGTCTCGAAGCCTACTTTTAAATATCAGAAATAGTTCCACAACCTGTATTAGATACAGTGGCTACTTGAGATGTTTCTAACTAGATTTTATGTCCAAGACTATCTGAGCTTGGGAGGAGAAAATTGGGAAAATGTGTCCTGAGCAGAGAACAATAATCCATGCTGCAACTGCAGCAATGCACGTGTAACAAAGTCATCCGGAGGAAGAACACTATAAGATCACCCTGCAAAAATTAGAATCTGGAAGAGATTGAGAATTACAGCTTCACCAGCATCAAACAGACAAGAGAGAAACCACCAGCTTTAAAATACAATTGCAAGTAATACAATGGACACTGCAGTCATGGGCAAAAGCTTTGCTGGGAAACAAATCAGCTGACTCGTTGGTTTTAGTTGTTGAGCGGAAAAGAACTATTCATGGTAATATTTTCTATGTAATCTAGCAAAAGGAATGTTATTTTTTTTTATGAAAATGTAAAGAGTCCTTATGGCTATTTTGAATGGTGCACCTTTCCCGATTCTGGGACTAAACTATGGTGCGGGTTGCTTTAATGATTATAAAAGCATATAGCACACTTTTTATTTCACAACAAGCATATCAACCATAAGCCCAAAAAACAAAGACATTTTTTCTGTTGTAAATAAGACATTGCACACTTGCATTGCTAGTAGTGAAACTTGGGCCCACATCAGCAGAGCAATTCTTGACACAGAAGAAAACCAAGCAGACAAGAACCAACCATTTTACACATCTGAACATGGAAGAGAGAATTATAAGATATGGTTCTACGGATTCATTGCCAACCCCACCAGAATATAATAACTACACATTTGCTTGGACTATGAGAGCTGTAGAAAATTTCTCGCCATAAGAAATCCCATCATATTTCTTCAATACTTCTTTTGCACCTTCATGACAATTGTCATGCAGTAACAAACATCCTTTGTGAATAACACTACACGTTTCCTTTTTCTCAGAAAAGAAAACATTGCTGTATCACCGAAGCATGAGATTTAACATCAAGATTGTCATAGCTAAATATCACCCTAAAAGGAAAATAAAATGAAAACAAACTAGAAAAGCAACAAAAATAGCCTCTATATTGGTCCTCAGGGTGTTGAATCAAGTCTTACTGAGCACATAAGAATTCTTTAGAAACCATAATAAATAATAAAGCGAATTCCCTTTATTCCCGAGTTGTCAATTAGTTTAATCCCTTATTTCATCTTTTGGAGAAGCCACAGATAACCAACACGGCGCCAAATTCTGGGTTTCATATCATTACCTATTCAATCAAAATAAGTACGCATCATCGACTCTGATATTCAAGCAATCATTTGTCTTCGACATCAACAAATCAGATACCATTGCCCATTCAGAATATAGAAAGCATAACATGCGCCAGAACTCCACTCACTTATAACGTATAAAAAGAAAAACTAAAAGGATCTGAATCAGACTCTCCACAGAATAGAACCACCAAACAAGTCCTGACGGGGAAAATATTTTACAAGCAACAGAGATATTTAAAGCCGAAGGAGACGAGAACAGGCATAAACGACAATTATTGTTAGCTTCTAAATCTGAGCTTAGTTTTGATCGTTAACAAGCAACCGATATTAAAAACGTAAAGCCGCGTGACTTTTCTCGCACTATTTTCTCGGGAACCAAACAGAAGAAATACTCACCACTCGCAACATCGCGTTTCAGAAAGAGGAGAGAGAGCTTCTGTAATGTGACCACTTGAGGGAGCAGGTTGAGCTCATGAGTCTGAGAAGCGGTGAGGCAGATCGTGAAAAGGGACTGAGTAGTGCTTGAAATTACTGGTTTTGCCACCGCGCCATGCGATCTTCTGAACTCCGAGGACAGGTGGGAAGCAAATGAAAGTGGCCTTTTATATTCTATTAACTGTTCCTCCCAGTGACTAATTAAATGCCCGATAATTATTAATTTGGTAAAAAGATAATAATTAATAAGTCAAACTTTTATTACTATATAAAAAAACATTAAAGTACGTATTTTATTTAATATAACGTAATAAATTTATTATGATTTTAATTTTATTTTTTCACAAATAAATTTAATTCCATTAGTTATTACTATTAATTTAGTATTTATTCGCAGGTCAGGTGTCACATTAAGCTGGCACGACTAGTGAGCTTCCAAATTTCACCGCTTATTTTCACATTATTTAAATGATTATAAATTACATAATTATTAAAGATTAAAATTGAAAATGACGTATATTATAAGATATAATTTTATATAATGTTTTAAATATAAAGTTTAAAATATTAATTTAAATAAACTTTACGCAAAAAAGATCTAACGAGACATTTTCCATCAGTGGGGCCCGGAGCCGTTCTCTTTTTTTCTCTCCCACCGTGCTATTTACTTCCTAAAATCCCCCCCGATTTTCTCATTCGCTCCCGGTTAAACCCTTTCTTCCCCTCCAAGCTCAGTCATGGAGATCGATTTCAGAGACTACGGGTTGCGATGCGAACTTCGGGGCCACGAAGACGACGTAAGATCTCTGATTCCGTACTCTCTGTAATAGTCACATTATAATCTCCTGTTAATTTTACTTTCTCGAAGATTAATTTAACCGGGGAGGGCATTTTCGTACAAAACTCAGTTAATTCTTATTCATACATCGATCTCTTGAATTTCGACGCTCTCCATTGGGATACATGTTGTTTGCCCTGTTGATTGTTGTTTTCTTTTCATTTGTTTCTGATGATTGGTTTATCAGTAGGAATTAAAGTAATTCAAGAGTCATATGCGTTTGTAAAATAATGTAGAACTGAATACAGGGAGAGAGAATAGCATGTTCTCACTCTTTCTGCGTTAGCGGAAGCTAAATTCATGTAAACCACTTGATGTGGCCTCAATATTAAGACACGAAGTCGTTCGAAAGAAAGGCAAATATGTTGAAAATACTCGATTCTTACCTGAATAACAAGAAAGGTATATTCGGAAACTAAACATGCGGATTTGCTCCGTGGAAAAAGTAAAATGTTAGATTTGCGTGGTTCAGGTAAAGCCTTGACTTCCTAGTCTCTTATATGCTGCGTACTTTTACCGTACGTGTTTTTAACATAGGATGAAATAAAATTAGCGGGTAGATGAGCAGACCCATACAATTTTTTATTGGCAATTCTTTAAGTATACTGATAAGAAAATAAGAAGTGAAGTGCACTATATGTTGGTCTGTCCCTGGTTTTTTTCTTTTTATTACTTTCATTGTCTGAGTTGGTCTCTCCAAGGAGATGGAGATCAACTCATTTCTTGGTTTTTTTTTTTTATTTGTGTAGAAGAAATGACAACTTATATCTCAATCATTTGAATTTTCATATAACTTATTTCTACATGGTATCAAATCAATCCATGGGTTACATTTTGTTAAAAGGAGGGATGCATACTTTTGTATATGCACAAGAATTTTGGTGTGATATGTTAATCTATGTGACTAAAATGAATGTCAGGTTCGTGGAATATGCATATGTGGTAATGAGGGTATAGCAACATCATCAAGGGACAGAACTGTAAGGTTTTGGACTCTAGATCCATGTGATAAGCGGAAATATGTTCCATCAAAAATCATGTTGGGCCATTCAAGTTTTGTGGGGCCATTGGCTTGGATTCCACCAAATGAAGAATATCCAGAAGGCAGAATTGTTTCTGGTGGAATGGACACTTTGGCTCTGGTTTGGGACTTACGGAATGGAGAGAAGGTGCAGACATTGAAGGGGCATCAGTCACAAGTCACTGGTCTTGCACAAGATAATGGAGATATTTTGTCATCTTCTGTTGATTGGTAGTGTATGAGTGTTAGTTATTGCATTTTGAAGTATTTTAAATATTTTAACTGAAACTGTAATAGGTTCTTTTTGAATCTCGGTGCAAGTTGTTTATTATTTGGTGATAAGATGCAAGTCAATCAGTTTATTTGTTTATCTTTTCTGTTGATGAAAGGGATCTGTTCTTGTTGAGCTGCTTAAATTGCTATGTAGATTTGCTAAATTAATTAATGTTCATGGCTCAAGATCTTGATTTGATGCAGTACTTTAAGACGGTGGAGGAATGGTAAACTAATTGAGTTTTGGGAGGCACATAAGTCAGCAATCCAAGCTGTAATTAAGCTGCCTTCTGGAGAGCTTGTTTCTGGTATATTCAGTTAATTCATTGTGGATTTTTAGATCAATTGTTAACCAATCAACTCTCTCTCCATTAATTTGAAGAGATGAACTTAGTTATGAGTTATGTGTACCCCTCTAAAAATTTAAAACTTATTTGAATTAAAGTTTAAGTGGTATTTCAAGATAAACTGTTTACACCTTCTCCCTCTCCTCTTTTAGTTCTTTTGGTCATAGTTTCCCCTCAAAACTCATTGTTGTTTTCCCTTTTATTTTCCGGCCTTGTTTATTTTCACTTCCTTTAATTACAAACATTTTTCTTTTGTGAAATTGTAATGCATGACATCTACTTGTTAATGGGCAGGGATATAATGGGAGCTAATGGATTTAAGGTCACCATAATGTTATTTAAAATTTAGTTGAATCTATTGTTCAATGGAAATAATTGACCATGCTTGATTCTTCTAGTATAACAGCAGGAAGATAAAGAGAAAACAAGTCTCTGCTGAAAAGTTTATTTAATTTGGTTGTTGGAAAACCCAAAGTAACAATAAAATAATAAACTTAAAAAATAGAGAGTTAGTTTCATTGTCAGTATAGAATTAGTTTTATTGTCAATCATCATATATTGATGGTCGGCTTCAATCTACATATACTTTAGCAAAACCACTGCCATCCTCAACACCTTTCCATAGGCTAAATGAATTACAATTTTCTTCAGCTACCTCAATTGGACTCCCCTATGTTCTCTGCAAGGTCATGTATTTACTATCTGATTTGTTATAGTTTCTGTTTCATCTCAAAAATCATCCAGGCAAGGGTTACCTTCATGTTCTATTCATTTTGTAGAGATGCATTTTGCTATTTATTTTGTAGGAAAGAAGTACTGTAAACTTATTGGCTTACCTGTTCTGCACCATGATTCAGGTTCAAGTGACATGACTCTGAAACTCTGGAAAGGAAGTAAATGCATTCGCACTTTTATGGGTCATACAGGTTTGTTTCGATGTATTTATTTAATATAAATATATCATACTAAAAAATATAATTAATACATATTCATAATATACTTTAATTTTTAATTGATATAAATATAATTATATATATTAATACAAGAAAATGGTCGGATCTGACCTGCAAACCTGACACAGTCCAAAAAAGTAAAAAATTTTGAGCTACTTCGAATGCAGAGTTGGTTCGGGTTTGCTTTTTATAGTGTGGATCAGGTTTGGATATTGTAAAACCTGCCTCGAACTTGTCCTGTTGGTATCCCTAGCTGAACCATCAGATACAGGCAGCTGCAAAATATCATTTTACTGGAAAGGTGGATGCTTGCAGGACCTTGTTTTCATGGTCTTCCCAATATATATGTAATAGGTTTGCAGCAATAAGATATTGGCCAAATAATATCTCTCAAAAGGTTTCAGAGCACCTAGGGGATTGTAGGGTTCTCTTTAATGAGACTTAACTCACACCTGCATCATAGGTCACGGAGGGAGGAAACTTTCAAAGAAAGGGGCCTATTTGATTAAGATTTCAGTCTTAGTCGACCCGTAACCCAATACCAAACTCAGGACAATAGTAGTTTTTGCCACTCTATTACAAGGGGAACTAATTTAACTACTTCAAGCTGTTAAATCAGCTAAGTTAGTTATGTTGGTTAATATGTTGTCCATTGTAAAAGTAAAAGTAACAAATTTGTTGGATTTAGTTCAATTGAGGCTATAAATATAGGATAGGATGTAGTAATATGAGCTATTGATGATTTTTTTGGGTGATAAAAAGTATATAATATATATATATTAACAAAGGTATCAAGGGAGTACCACTCATGTACAAAATAGTTTTCAAATCAGTTAGGAGATGAATGACATTCCCAAAATCTTTCATTTTATAAATGTCATGACCCAAAATAAAAGAACCAAAAGTATTTAGCCATCTATCTCTAGTATCAAAATTCTCTCCCTCAATCTCCTCAAAAACTCTAGAATTTCTCTCCTTCCTTATCATCCAAAAAATAGATAAAGGGACAAGCTTGAAACTTCATCTCCCTCTCGATTATTCTCTTCCTCTTCTCTCTCCCTTTCCTCTTGCTTCTTAGATCTTCCTTGCAATTGGATCTGGCTAATAATACAATGACATTATCAAGTAGTATCTAAGCGACTGAGCAATCCTACCTTCTAGTATTGCAAACTCCGATCAAAACCATGGCAATAGTTGATAACATTAGATCCCAGTGTATCAAGAAAATGGAGGAATCCATTAAAAACATTGTTAAAATGGTGTATCTTGCATCCACACATTTGGATGGCGTTGTATTAGGCTGGCTCCATGGTTACATGAAGGATTTCACCCCCCACGCTTGCCACCTCAGCTACCACCCACTATCCGCTATCCTACTTCTACCACAATTTTCATCATCTTGCATCATTACCATTATCTTGTTGCCACCACCACCACCAATATTACTATCACCACTATCCAGTGGTATATAAGCTATGGAGCATAGTTTATGATTTGCTTGGTATTGGGTGATGCCAGGTTCGGTGAAGGAAGAGTTGCAGGCTTGGAAGGGCACTAGTGGTTGTAGAAAGAAAGTGGAGATCATTCCGCTCACCATTTTTTGGGTGGTGGAAGGAAAGGAATAGAAGGTTTTTGAGGGGACTGAAGATGTAGGTGGTTTTGATATTCTTAAGAATAGATGGTTATAGAACCAGTTTTTTGTTAAGGAGTTACCCTCAATATTCAAGGGATGATTTAGAGAACTTTTTGGATACTTTAATTGACTCTTAAATTTTGTACATAGGCGGTAGCCCCTTGTTGCCAATATCAGTACACAGTTTCACACTTTTTATTTTAAAAAAAATTACTGTCACCACTATATTGATAATTGTAATCATAGCAACCTCCTCTGCATTAACGTCACTCTTTATTATCACTACTATCACTATTGCTATCATTGTTTCTGTGACCACCACTGTTACCATCAATACTGTTGTTACTATTATTGCCGCCTACCATGACTACCACCATTATCACATTTGTCACTACTACTGCTGCTGGCATTACCACTACTATGACCACCAATTATGTGTATGAAATAAGAAAATGTTGATACGGTGTTGCTATACTATCCTTCTGTTTCTCCAGTCATTCCAAAATATTGTTGGGTAAGAATCTTATTTATGGATAGCTTACCCTGCCTTGCCTAATTACCTTAGTTTACTCATGTACCAAACATAGTCTAAGTGTGTCTATAACTTTATTTTATGCTTATGTTTGGTCTAGGCAGCAACAGTTGTGTAGGTTAGTTGAGTGCTGAATTTTTCTTGTTCAAAAATTGCTATTACCTAGGAAGCAATGATCCTGAGATAACCAGTTAGTTGTCTCTTTCCATAAGTACTTAGAAAGGCCATTTTCTCAAGGAATAAAGATAAGCAGAAAAATAAATTCAGAAAAGCTTCTTGAGTTTTTCAAAGTCTTAGAGAAACGTTCTCTCTTAAGGAGCTCACTAATTGATCTTGTAGCAAGATCCTAAAGTAGATTTTATTTTGTAGTTATGTTGCTCTAGTCAGCAACAGTTGTGTAGATCAGCTAAGTGCTTCTAAATTTTCATTGACAAAAATTGCTATTACCTAGAAAGCAATTATCCTGAGATAAGCAGTTAGTTTTCTCTTTTCATAAGTACTTAGAAAGGCTATTTTCTCAAGGAATAAAGATAAGCAGAAAAATAATTTCATAAAAGTTTCTTGAGTTTTTCAAAGTCTTTGAGATGCATTCCCTCTTAAGGAGCTTGTACTAATTTATCTCGTAACAAGATCCTAAAGTAGGGACCATAGAACGCTATACCATTAATATCAAATGAAGACTGAGAAGAGGATATGTTCTATTCCCGAAAATGGCAAGTATTATTTCATACATGTTCTTATGCACCTTGTGGCTTGGCAGACACGGTTCGTGGGTTGGTGGCAATGCCTGGTTTAGGAATCCTTTCTTCATCACATGATGGGTGAGTGATGAATCATCTGCTTTCTCTCCATCTCCCTTCCTTTTCTTATTGTATGGTTTTTCTGTCTAAGGGCTTATTTTATTATTTTGTAGATGTTTTTTTTTTCAAATAAATTTTTTTGTAGATGTTTAATGCCACACTGCAATTGATTAGAATAAAAAGCAAATAGCAAAAGCAAATAACAAGGTTATAACTCCCAACTTAATGTGCTTTCTGGTATGGGATGATGACCATTATGCTTACAAACATCTTTTGGGGAGAAGAAACATAATCTTGCAGTTTCAAAATTAGGTCTTTGTGGGCTGCAAGTAGGACCATGAAACTTGGAAGGAAATGAAAGTGAAAATCCCTTTTGCTAACTTGATTTATTGATATGTTATGTTCAGTCATGATACTGTTGCCTTTTCCCATGTTCTGAGATCTTTTCTCTCCCGTTTATCATATTTCTAAGGACTGTAGGACAAAGTTTTTTATCTTTCAAGTGGTCTACTATTCAGTAAAGATGAACTGCCATATGGCTAGTTGTCTGATATGAGAGTTCAACACTGCATCATCTTCCTTATAAGGATTTTGTTTTTTTTTTTTAAAGATAAAATTGAGTGATAGTTTTAAAAAGAACGCCGAGGGGGCAAAACCCATATACAAAAATTTAAGTATTTACAGATCGGTAAATATATTTACATTAAACCTAAATCATCAAAAGAGTTAGGGTTATGACCAAGGATGATGGAGCCAAAAAAATGAAGCCATCAAAAAAATTTGTTTCTTTGTTCTCAAAAATCCTACAATTCATTTCTTTCCATATAATCCAAAGTATTGTTAAGGTAATAATCCTATGCCACCAATTACATGTTTTGAGGCATTCCCAAGTTAACAATTCACCTTTGACAGATCCAGCCATAACCCAGGAAACACCAAGCAACAAAAAATTCTGTTATTCCAAAGTTAGATGTATTATGTGATTTATTTTTAGCTTTAAACTGAAACTTTTCACACCAAATTTAAGTACTATGTGAAAAATAAATCTAAGATAGGTATGTGCAAAATCTTGTTTGTACCTTGTTTACCTATTGACAAAAAATGAATATTGCTTTCTGAGAGATTGATTGGAGTCCTATTTTGTGGTCAGACGTTATAAATTTACTTGTTTTTTTGTTAAAACAAGTCCTACCAAAATGTTTCTTATTGTATGTTTACTTAAAATCGACTGGTGTTATTTACATACGACAATAGTAGTAGGATCTTGATGTTTGCCCTTCTTTTTACCCTAATTCGTGATTCTTCATTCTCTATCATCTGAAGTTCTTTGTGGCTTTTATCAGTAATTCTTTAATGTAAATCTAACTACTTTTTTTCATCATCATCAGTTCCATAAGGTTATGGGCGCTAAGTGGTGAAGTATTAATGGAGATGGTTGGTCATTCTTCCATTGTCTATTCGGTTGATTCCCATGTGTCTGGCCTAATAGTCAGTGGTAGTGAAGATTGCTCTGCAAAGATATGGAAAGGTTGTTGCTTCTAATGTTTCTGTTGATTTTCTTTTTTGGATGAAAATGTCTGTGCTTCTCTTTAAAAGGATAACATGCATGGATTATATATTTCTAAAGGAAAAATCAGAGGCGTTCACAGGGCACCAATGGGGTACAGAACAAATGTTTGGAAGTTGATATTGACAAAGTCCTAAGATACTACTCGGAATAGAGGGAATGGCCTTTGAACAAAATAAAAGCCCTGAAACTTTTTATTCAGAGAGAAAACTAGAAATAATATTTAAGGGCACCAAGGAGTGCATTTTTACGGGGGATTCTTGTATGTGCTTTCATTGTAATTTGGCTGGATTTTTTCCTAGCTCAAGGTCTTTTTTGAAGTCGGCAGAAGTTGAGTATTGGTTGGCTCTGATCAACTCATTAAATCTTTGAAGAGAATCTTTTATCTTTGGATTGTCTCAATCCACAGTGTCCATACTGTGTACACATTTGGAAACACATTAATATCTACTTTTATATTACTGGAGCTGCAGCAATCTTGGATGTCCTCCTCTTGTTAGTCTACTCTCACATGTTTGACATTTGTATTTTTCTGCTTTTCTTTACATGTACAAACATTTGTGAAATCCCTAACATTAAGAAACTAAAAGATGATCTAATGTGAAATATGGCTTGGATTTGATAAATTTAACAAGCATTTGTTGAAATAACAAACATCACTTCCCATTGCTGTACTACCTTGCATATGGTAAAATCACCGTATCATTTCTTTCCTCTTGTATCATGAAGTGCTTTTCTACACTATACTATTTGACTATAGGCACCCATTTGTAGAAAGGCTAAAATCTCAGTTCTTTAAGTATATGAAAGTTGGTTATTTATTTACTATTTATTTTTTAAGAGCTTTTGATGGGGTTGATGATGTGAATGAGTTTGGTTTACTAAAGAATAGATAGTTCCAGACTCTAGTTTTTTGTTATCGGGTCATTCTCCATAGTCAGTGAAGGATTTAGGTGTCCTTATTAACAAGTTGATAGATAAATTTTTTTGTATGTGGGCTAGTACCCCCTTGGTGCCAATATTCATACTATACTTCATGTTTTTTATTTCAAAGAAAAGAAAATTGTTTTTTACTTGGAACATGGTGTCTTTCTGCAGATGGAGAATGTGTTCAGAGCATAGAGCATCCTGGTTGTGTCTGGGACGCCAAATTTTTGGAAAATGGGGATATTGTGACTGCATGTTCAGATGGAGTTGTTCGTATCTGGACAGTTGAACATGATAGAATTGCTGGACTAGCAGAACTTGATGCATATGCTTCCCAACTTTCTCAATATAAGTTGAGCAGGTATGTTATGACTCCTCTTGAAAGTGAACCATGAACTAAAGTATTACTGGCCAACCAAGTTTATAAGACATTCTCTCATGGGAAATTTAGGAAGAATTTAACTGTAATACTAAGTAGTTGCTGGGACTACTCTGTCGTAGGTAAGAGGGTTTTTTATGTTAAGTTTATTTGAATAAGTCAAATCATGTGTTATGGATTGTATGAGACACTTGCTAATCTAGGGGGTAGTTTCTATTCCTAAGAAGGAAGTTGGTTTGATATTGACAGACCTATATGTTGGGTCCTGTTATATTATTTGTATCAAGAAAAATTTTGTGATGCAGAATAGGAAACTCATAAAGTGGACATGTTTCAGTGATAGGAGATATAAGGCAGAACCAATAAAAGAACATAAATATTTTGGGAAGTTAATTAAAAAGAATTAGGAAGATTTAATTTCATTTTATAAGTTTTGGAGAGTTTTACAAGAAAAAGAAAATAAGATGGTCTATTTTCATATTTCCTGGATTTTCATTTCCCTAGTTGTTTAACTTATTTTCTTAATTTACTAGGTTTTCTAGATTTTCGATTTTTGATGCATCTGGTGCCTATAAATAAGGTGCCTAGTTTAGTTATTAGATAAACGATTTATGATTTTTGTTTTCAAATATTAAGATATTGCTTTGATTATTAAGATTTGAGATCTCCAAGTTTGGTTCTTAATGAATTTTCCCAAAGTTTTCTCCTCAAGCTCTTTTTGTCCTACACCAGTTGGTATAAAAGAGTAAATTCGATTTGTTACGTTGCCTCAGTTTTGTCATCCCACCTTCACAAAACCAACCTACTGCTAACAAAAAAACCCCAAAACTCTAAATAGCTGACAATAACAACGAGAGAGGAAAATCAAAACGCTGTCTCTACTTGATCCCTAGCCATTGTAGGTGGTGGTAGACACTACCCCCATCACCAGCTTTACAAGACCTCGATTGGCAAAACCCTGAAGCCTTGCAGTGGAAGCTCGCTTGGATCTGCATCACTTGCTAGAAAATCACTGGGTTGCCACTGCAAACACGGAACCTCCTTCTTGACTGTGACAAGTAACTCCTAACCTAGATCCGAGACTAGCAGTTCGACTTGAGCTTGTTGTCAAAAGACTGAAGCTGGAGGTCACCGGACGCCAGCGCGTGGCAGCACCTGGATTCGATATTCTGAAGCCCTCTGTTCAAACCGGTTTAAACCATATCCTGTTCGACTTGTTCATTTTTGCTACCTCTAGACGGATTTCAATTATTTTAGACTGATTTTCTATGTTTTTTTGGCGTGATCTTTCACTTATCGAAGTTAGTTCGGTTGAATTCATATTTTATCTCACTTTTCTTTTGGCTAGTTAATAATTTTGACAAATGTAGATCAGTTCACATGTGCAACAAAAGTTATTTGATTTAAGAATAAATGTTAAGTCTATCAATCAGATTGATGGAAGAGAAAATCAATGCAATTATAGTAGTTTTATGGCATCATGCAGAAAAAAAGCTTGAAAGATGGCTTATGGACATTTGTTACATGCTTACTAACCCGTGTCATTCAACTAGTTAGCTTTTTCGGATCTAGCTAAGTATTGTCTCTCAAAAGTACATCAAGAGCCATCTAACTCAATGCGAGATGTGCATTTTTGTTCATTATTAAAACCATTGGTTAGTGATCAACTTCTTAAACGCTCTAATATCAATGTGAAACTTGAAGTTGCTTACTGCATATGTGAGGTAACTAAAATAACTGTATCAGATGTTCCTTATGATGACACAAATAGGAAAGTTTCTGAGTTAATTGTTTTGACATTTTAAATTACTAAGTGATTGGACAAGGCAATCACATGTTAGTGAGATCTTAATTCTTGAAATAATTGCAAGAACTAGGCTATCTGGTGATGTTGGGCCTTTATTATGAAAAGTTCATCAGAGAACGTTCGAGCACTTTCTTGAGTTTATCCAACCATAATAGAAAATATTTTCTCGAACATGGAAGTGATCATGATCATGATTTTACAAGAAAGCGATTATATCTGGATAGAATTGCTATCTTCGCTTCTGCATAGCATTCGAAGAGAAAAGGAAAAAGTTTCATCGATTGGTTCACTTGATTGGGCTTGAGACCACATGGGAAAGACCTTTGAAAAAAGATTGGCCTAGGCAGGGATAATTTCCAGGTGAATATAAGGTGAAAGGTTGCAAAAGTGGATAGGATCAGACTTCGGGAGGACCCATGGTTGGATGGTGGTTCCCTTTGAGAGTAGTTTCCCTAGATTTATGCTATAGCTCAGCTAAGAGAGGTCAAGATTTGTGATTCGGTTGCGGAGATTGGAGGAGAAGAAAAAGAATGACAGGTTTTAGTTCAGAAAAACTTGAATGACTTGGAGATCAGTGAATAGAATTTGGTAAGGATTCTATCATATGTAACTTTGGATGGGAGTAATGACAAGCCGCTGTGGAGCCTTACAATGGATTGATCCTTTACAGTTAAGTAATTTTATAGGCAGCTCTTTAAGCATGCTAGTAAAAGTTACTCTCTCCTGTTTAGACAAATTTGGAAGGCAAGAGCTCCATCTCGGGTTTTTTTTTTAGCATGGGAGGTGAGCAGAGAGTGTATTTTGACAATTGATAAACTAAGGAGATGAGGTAAGATTTTGGTGAGTACCTGTTAATTTTGTAAGAGGGTGGAGGAGATCTGGAACCATGTTCTCCTCTGGTGTCTAATGGTTTACAAACTCTGGACCATGGTTTGTAGCCTATTGGGCATCAGCTGGGTGATGACAAATTTAGTGAGAGATGAAATTTGAGCGTGGAAGAGTATGGGTGGTGGGAGGAAATAAGCAGAGCTAATTCCGCCTTACCACCTTTTGGATTGTGTGGAAGGAGAGGAACAAAAGGGCATTTGATGAGGTTGATGATGTAGTTGGTTTTGACTTACTCAAAAATAGATGGTTGCAGACCTTTGATCTTTTGTTGTTGGGTCATCCACACTGTACAGTGGAGAATTTAGAGAACTTTATTGACACTTTGACTGAATTGTAAACCTTTGTGCATGGGTGGACACCCCTTTGGTGCTAATATTAATATATACTACGTACTTTTTATTTTTAAAAAGAAGTTCCATCGATTGCTCATGGGTTAGTAAAGAGAGTTCCTGAAAATTGTTCTACTAAGCTTAAACTGTCTTTGATGCAGGGGATAAAGTCTTTAGGAATTTCCCTAAGATTATATTGATGTAGTGGCCACCATATTTCACGACTTCATATATGGAGCAAGATGATCTCACTATCATTAATGATAATGATGTAGTGACCACTAGATGTCATGACTTATATCTTTCTATAGAGCAATGTGACCTCACTATCATTGATGGTCTCACTTGTGAGAGCAAGTTAATAAATGAGGTAACAAATGAGATCACTATTGATCATCCAATTAATGAAGCCAGTTAATAGATAAGATAATCGAGTTCAGAAATGGGAAATATTGTACCAGCCCAAGCTATTTGGCAACTAAATAACCTCAGCTTGCTGAACTCCAGATGGTGTGTCAGCAACAGATTCAAAGTTCAATTTTGGTCTGACATTTGGCTGGGTACTGACACACTCATTTCCAAATTCCCCCTCATGCATGCTATTTCATGTGACAAAAATATGTATGTCAAAGATGCTACTGACCCAAACATTCCGGACAATGGAACATTACTGTTCAAAGGAATATCCAGGATTGGGAGATTGAGGCAATCGAGAGCCTTCTGCAAACTTTAACTTCAGTCCATCTTACTGACCAAGAGGACAAGCTATGGTGGAACATATCCAAAACCGGTAAATTCATGGTAAAGTCCTTTAACAATCTTCTTGCCGGCAACCCCACCCCTTGCACAAGACCATTTCCCTCTAACATCATTTGGAAGGTGGGGACTACTCCCAGAATCTCTTTCTTTGCTTGGGAAGCGGCAAAAGGCCGCATACTCACTACGGATAACTTAATGAGGAGGGGCATCATCACTGTCAGCAGATGCTTCCTTTGCAAAAACAGTCTTGATTCTTGTAATCACCTCCTCCTTGAATGCTCCATAACCCACAAGTTGTGGTCCACTGCTCTCAGTCTGCTTGGTTTGTCTTGGGTCAGGAATGATTCTATATCTTCTAAACTTTTTGCTTGGGAAGGCTTCGGCAACAATAGGAAAAAATTCAGACTCATTTCTCTCACCATTTTTTGGGTCATTTGGAAAGAAAGAAATAATTTGGCTTTTGAAGGGAAATAAGTAGATTCTAGCATAATTTTAGATAATTAGTTTCATTATTTTGGTTCTATTGTTTTGAGGCATAACATTGACTGACTTGATGACTTAGGTTTCATTGTTGATATACTAACTGATTTGTAAATCTTTTGTATACGGATGGTACCCCTTTGGCACCATTAATCAATACAAATCTTATACTCTTATTTTTTTTATAAAAAAAGATAAGATAATCTAATAGATTGTGAAAGATGTTGCAATTTCTACCGTACAAATTGAGTTACTTGGTAATGTATCTCTCAATTTCATTGCAAGCAATGATGTTGCTAAGGTTGAAAATGATGATATTCTCAATAAAGAGGTTCCATTTGAAGATACTGTAAAAATTTCTTTGGCTCCTAAAAGCAATGGTGAAAATTTGGTTCTTCTTTCTTTTTATAAATTTTGTCGTTCCTAATCGATTTACTATGTCTTCAGAATCCTTAAATTTTGGAAGCATACATGTCTTTTCATTATGAATTCAAGTTCCAAGCTTCAGTTGTTAAGAAGACAAGTTTCATCTTCGACATTCTTTCTACTTCAACATTTTAGGATTCAAGGTCGGGTTTTCACTAAGTGGGGTAATATGGTGCGGAATAAGAAGCTCTTAAAATTGGACATATTTCAATAATAGGAGAAAATATAAGGTAAAACTGATAAAGGAGCACAAATGTTTTGGGAAGTCAATTAAAAATATAGGAAGATTTAATTTCTTTTTCTAAGTTTTGAAAAGTTCTACAACAAAAAGATAATAGGAAGATTTATTTTCTTACTTCTCTAGTTCGTTCTATTTAACTTATTTTCCTATTAGTAGGTTTTCTAGATTTTTTTGTTTTAATGTATTTGATGCCTATAAATAAATTAGCTAGTTTAGTTATTAAGTAGACTATTTATAATTATCATTCAAATATTGAAATACCGCTTTCATTATTCTAAATTTGGTTCTTAATAAATTTTCCGTAAGTTTTCTCTTCAAACTTTTTTTGTCCTACATTAGTTTGTCTTAAAGTTTCATAAGTACTTAACCTAAGGAGATCCTAGGATTCTCTTTAGATGAGCCCTATCATTCATCCTCATCTAGGTTTGAAAGGAAGAAACTACCATAGAAAATCTGATTTACGTCTAACAGATTTCACTAGCCCTCAAAGACCAGTAAGTAGATACAAGTGGCTGGAATACACCAAGGTATTTCTCATTTAACATGTTCCTGCATTTGATATGTAGTACCTCAATGGATGAATCATAAGTACCAAATAAATGCTTCATGAACTTTTGATAATCTTCCAATTGTCTTCTCTAGTGAGTTCACCTCTCTTTTAAGATATTATAATTAATATGGTAATTTTGCTCCCTGTTATATGGTTTTAAGTTAACACTTTTAAATGTTTGTCACTGCAACATGGCTATGTTTTGAGATGTCAATCTGAATTTTATTGTTTATGTCAGTTTGTATCAATAGATTGCTGTTCGTAATCAATCTGAGACTTAACTAGCCATTTCACTTCCAATGCTGTTTTGTGAGCCTTTTCTGACATATCTTATGCATTGCTCTTTGCGTTAGGAAAAGAGTTGGTGGATTGAATTTGGAGGATCTCCCAGGACTTGAGGCTTTACAGGTTCCAGGTGTGATACTAATTTTAATTTTATTTGGAAACATGTACTTTATCTTTCGAATTGCCCAATGGTTCTAAGTTCTATGTGGAGGATGCTTGTATCTTTACTTGAGGAAATAGTCAGTTTTGAAATTCAAGTGGGGTTTGCTACTTTATCTTACCTGTAAGTACTCATAAAAAAGTCCTGGACATGGTTAATATTTAAAAACTTTCTGATCAGGGACCAGTGATGGCCAGACGAAGGTTGTGAGAGAAGGGGACAATGGTGTTGCATATTCATGGAATTTGAAAGAGCAGAGATGGGATAAAGTAATTTCAAGTTTTATGTCAACTTCTCTCCCTTAATCCTCTTTAAAGCAAAACATCCCATCAATCTGTTGCAGCCACTTGCTTAGTTTCCTTTTTGTTTTTCATATGATTTATACATGGCAGTTGACATTAATGTCTTTTAGATCCAGTATTTCAAAAAAATGTCTCGTACAGACCAAATTTATCCCCTTCGTGCCATTTGCAGTATTTTCTTTTTAACCAAAAAACATAAGCTTTATCTTTGATTATTTCTTAAAATTTCAGATTGGTGAGGTTGTAGATGGACCAGGTGATAGCATGAACCGTCCCATCCTTAATGGGATCCATTATGATTATGGTTAGGGTTTGACTTCTTTCTGTACTTTCCACCTTATTTTTGCTTCTGTTGATCGAAGGTTTAATTTTTTCGTTCTCTCATGACTCAGTTTTTGATGTTGATATTGGGGATGGGGAACCTATTCGTAAGTTGCCATACAACCGGTCAGGTATATTTATTCTTCTTGGCATTAAATTTTCCTTTGCCATTTTCTTATCAGCCAGCCTTTCACTTGTTCATAATAGTTTTCTCCCTTCCCCTTTAACACTGTGAAGTACCACCTGTCACAATACAAGACCAATTATTTCGCAGGCACTGATGTTTTATGGTGTCGCTTACGAATTTATGTAGCTGTTTGTTTCCTTAGTCTGTTAGTGTTTGATCGTATACGGTTGCTACATGAACTGAGCATTATGATTTCAGTGTGATATCTTAACATGAACTCTTTAGTAATTTAACAATTCTAGATTATGACTTATTTTGAAGATTTTGGAAGTTTATTGTTATTCTCAGAATAGATGCGCACACACACACACACACACACACACACACACACACACACACACACACACACACACACACACACACACACCCACACACACACACACACCCACACACACACAAAGGCACATGCATGAGAGCAAATAGAAAGTAACAGAAAACAGGAGCATTTAGGAAGGTAGGCACGTGTCGCTCATGTGCTTGTATGGATAATTTTCTGTAGTCCACTACTCTTTTCAGTTGATGATTCTCTATCATATATTAAAGTTCTGGCAGTTACTCATAAATCCTATCTTTTTTTCAGTTTTTTATGTGGAATAAGTAATTCTACAATCCAGGAATCTTGAGTTTTTCTGTTATTTGTTGATAAATCACCTTCTTTTGTTACTTTGAATAAGTGACCCTGTAATCATAGTGCATAAACTTTCATCAAGGTATTTGAGAGTCTTGATAAAAAGAAAAATAAATTGCTTGCATAATAAGTTAGGTTGTTTCCAGATAACCCATATGACACTGCTGACAAGTGGCTTCTCAAAGAGAATCTTCCTCTTTCTTATAGACAACAAATAGTGGAATTTATACTCCAGAATTCTGGCCAAAAGGACTTCAATTTTGATCCATCATTTCGTGATCCCTACACTGGTGGTAGGTGCTGTATCTTAGTTCATGGTCCTTCTTGGGTATGTTCCATGCTGTAATGTCTTCTTTTTTCTCTATTTCAGCAAATGCATATGTACCTGGACAACCATCATACTTGTCTGGTATGGAACAATTCAAATGTTCATATATATATATATATACGTGTAACTGTAATTTCTTTTGGTCCCCATAATGTGATACTTATTATCTTCTTCAGATTTTCAACAATAATGTCTCCTTTGATTTATGTACAGCTGTTTCATCTAAACCTTCTTACAAGCACATTCCAAAGGTATGCTTTTAGGTGTCATCGTTGGGATTTATAACATGGCTGCTATATTTCAAATTGGTGAAAATTAGAAGTATCTTGTAATTTTGGGTATCTCATTTATATCCTGTCTTATTCATGTTATTCTGCAAAACTTTTGTTTCCAGAAAGGAATGCTTGTCTTTGATGTTGCTCAGTTTGATGGGATCCTCAAAAAGATTGCAGAATTTAACAATTCTTTAAATTCTGACATGGTAAGTTAATGGTAGTAAGTAATCATTTTTTTTTACATGTTACTTCTGAAGAATCTCTTCACTAGGTTCTTAATTCAGAATACTGTAAGCTTACCTATTGTTATAACTTTTATAACACTGGAGGGCTGGGACTTGGCTGAGAGCCAGCTAACTGGCTTTATTCTTTTGAGAATGTTATCTTCTTTTATTTTCAATTTGCTTTATTCTTACAATTCTCTTGCAATTGGTGCCTTTTACAATTGTCTTTTTTTTTTTACATTTGAAGGGAAAGAAGAATCTATCTTTGACGGAGCTTGAGATGTCCAGAGTGAGTGCTGTAGTTCAAATACTGAAGGACACATCACATTATCATTGTACTAGTTTTGCAGATGTTGATATTGCTTTGCTGCTGAAGCTACTAAACACATGGCCACACACAACGATATTTCCAGGTTAGTATTGAGACCGTGGTTCAATTCTGATTATTTCTGTATATGGCATTGCTTCCTCTGTGATGAATAGTATCTACAGTCTCTTGTTCCTTTTCATTTTCAGTATATCAATACTCTCTTTGCATTTACATTTCAAGTTCATTATTTTTTTTTACTTGCTTTAACAACATTATGACTTTTTACCTTTGCAGCTATTGATATTCTGAGGATGATCATCCTGCATCCTGATGGGGCAAGACTTCTTCTCAAGCATGTGGAAAATGAAAATGGTACTTAGCTTTGCTTATATTGCTTTTAAATCTGAAGATGTTTGTAGATTGATAGTAAGGTACACCATTCAAATTCACGTGCACAATACTTAGCCATTACAATTTAGTTTGCTGTAGCCATAAGATAAACTTTGTTTTCACAATGCTCAAATGAATTTCGATGATGCCAAATCAACAAGACATTTCATAAACATCCTCTTTCTTGATTCACTATGACACCTCACTTGAAAATTTCTTTTTTTTTTTTTGGCCAACAATGGTGTCATCAGATTGCTTTTTCTTTTTCCTTGAGTTTGTTGTTTACTGCACTCTTTTTATGTTATGATCAGATGTTCTAATAGAAATGATTAAGAAAGTCACTGCAAATCCTGCACTTCCTGCAAATGTTTTAACCAGTGTTCGTGCTGTGACTAATCTATTCAAGAATTCATCCTACCACAACTGGCTGCAAAAGCATTGCAGCGAGGTAAGTGCCCTCCTCCATTGCTCGATTATATTTTAAATCTGACGCAGAAGATTGGTGATTACAATTACTAAGTTTTAAATGGCAAGATTGCTAATTGGCACTGCTTCTTGGCTTTTGAGCTGTCAATGGCTATGGCAGTAAGAAACTAGGTGATTTATATGCTGTCATGTTGCGGTCTTTTTTCGATTACATTCAGTGTAGTGTTTGCATGTGTATGAGCACATGAATGGCGTGGGTGCAGGAACATGCAGGCGTTCCCATATTCTTCCAACCTTTTATATGGTTTATTTGGTGTTCCTTTTTTAACTGAGTGGCTGCAGGAAGTTTGCAGTTCTTCCTGGCTGTTAAGCCGAGAGTTTTCTCAGCATTAATTGTGTTGCAAACTTTAGTTAATTTCTGCATTGTCATTTATATATATTCCTTATAGGCACGCAATTATGAGTATGCCTATTTTGCCATTGCATAACCATCATCTTCTCACAATGCATGAATGCAAAGTGAAAATGAAATTATGATAGGAAAGTGCAGTTCTGGATGTGCATGACATCAATGATAAGCATATTTCACAACTGATAACCATAATTCATATAGGCATATATGGCCTAATAATTTTCTGGTTTGGCCTAGAATCTAGGACCGTTCTCTTTTTGTTGGGTGAATTGAGTCATTTAAGATATGTTTGTGCTGGCCCCACATATGAGTGTTTATTTGTGATTTTTAGTTTTTCTTTCAAGGTGATCACTGATGATATCTGGATATTTATTGTCTGTTGCATTGTTTTTCAGTTATTTAGTTTTTGGCTGATCTTGCAGATTCTTGATGCATTCTCAAGTTGTTATTCATCTCCAAATAAGCATATGCAACTGTCTTATTCCACCTTGATACTCAAGTATGTGTTCCCTTGATCAACTTCTTGTAGGTTATTCTTTTATTTTCATTTGCCTTTCTGAGGGGTTTGTTGCTATTAGTATTCTTTGGTATTCTTTTAAATAACTCAGAATTCAAAACCACCTTCATTTTTCTTTTCTGATCTTTGTAGTATGTTTAACAAATGATATTCAAATGTCCATTCATATCCCTTTTGCAATTTTGCAGAATTTGTTCATAACCGCATGCAGTCAACTTAAGATCTTTAGCATGAGGGCTACGATGTTCTTTGCATTGTCCATCTCTTGCTTGTGCACTCTGTTTATTGATTTTTTGTCAGCTATCAAGATAGAAATCATAACCACTCTTTGTTGTTAAACTTATATTTTGTTTGCTTCACAGTTATGCTGTGCTGTTAATTGAGAAAAAGGATCAAGAAGGTCAATCTCAGGTTCTTTCTGCAGCTCTTGAGGTACATCTTATTCTGCCCCATTGTCTCCAAAAGAGAAGAGAGAACTCTTCTCATTTCTCTCCTAATGCCCTCTTGAGAATTTAAAAATGCCAACGTTCCTTGGTTTACTTATCTTTTGGTCATTACCATTCTGACATAAATTTTGATCTTTACGTTTATTATGTAGTGATATTTTCCTTCTCTTTTCCCAGATTGCAGAAGAGGAAGGTTTAGAATTTGATTCAAAATTCCGTGCTTTAGTTGCCATTGGATCATTGGTATATTCCTTTGGTTAATTTTTTTAGTTTTCACTTAGTAGTTACAACTAATTCATTGAAGAAATCTTGTTCACTTATATCTTCTCATGTTTGGTGTATACTGCATCCATGTATATCACGGGAAGACAAAAAGGTTCTAATTAGAAAAAAAGTTATTTATTTTTTCTATTACGTCTTCACTATATTAAGCCACGACTAAACATAATAGTGCCATGATGGGAGGGTTTCAACCTTAGGTTTTCTACTACTTGTGCTGAGATTTGTCTTCTCCAGCATATCTCATGCTCTTATTTAGTAATGGAACTCAAATGGACATCTTATACACGAAATTTGACAATGATGATGTTCATCGTAAGTTGAATTAATATAAAGTGTGTTGTCAGCAGTAAGTGCATACGGCATGGACCAAGAGGTTTGTGTATTGCCGCACTGTTAAGTTGAAATATGGACACATCAGGCATGTCTTTTTTTATCAGTATCTTATCTACATTTTTTGGAAGCTATCAAGCTTAAATGTGCATGTTATCAAGCTGGGGACTAGACTAAGAAATGTATTTTTAACCTAATTTAACAGAATAAAGTGCAGGCAGTAAAATTTGATTGAGCTTCAGATAAGATTTCTTCTGTGTATTTAATCTTTTCTTTGATAGATTAAATTATTTGTACGTTTCCTAATCTAGATGCTCGAGGGTCTTGTGAAGAAGATAGCATTGGATTTTGACATTGAGAATATTGCCAAAGCAGCAAAAGCATCTAAAGAGTCCAAGGTTGCTGAAGTTGGAGCCGACATCGAGCAACTAATACGACACAATTGAATGTAGGAATCACAATGGTAACTGTTGTTTTCTTAGCTAAGAATTCGTAGAAATTGCACTTAAAAATCGAAGTGCACATATTGTTACTGTGCTGGTGGATAAGTTTTTTTATGCGAAGCTTCCAACTGTGATGATGGATTTTAGGTTTTGTGATTTTAGGTCCATGCAATTTTTACTATGCCCCTTGCACAGACTTCTTTATAATGTAGGGGGTGTTTGATTTTCTCTTATCTTTGCAGTGACAAATGTAAATGAAACATTTAACGGTATATTTACACTTCTCTGCTAAAGATTCAAATCATATCAAGATTCAAAATAGTTCCATCATCAATTGCCTGCAAACTTGATTATGTATATAAAATCGGCAGAAATTACAGTGGTAATGTATATATAAAATCAGAATTTGGACACTGCCCATTCCTAATGGTATGAATGGTAAGCATCCAAATTAAAGCATACATAATCTACATAGAAAATATATTTTGAGATTAAAAGACAAAAAATTCACTTCCACTTTGAGTAGAACTTGTCGTCGTTCCACATCAACATTCTATTCAACTTAATCCTCTTATTCATCTTCTTCAAATGCCAATGCCTTGGTGCTATCCTCTTCTGCAAACTAAACCCAAAGTACTGAGGAAAATCTTTCAATTCCTCCAAGCTCCTCTCCATCTCCTCCGTCAAGAACTCATACTTGGGCCTCAAATTTTCCTCCACGCTGTAACCAAAAATCGCAGGCATCCTCCGGCAGACCCTCTTGGCCTCCTCGTAGCCCAACCCTATACTCTTCAAAAACTTTATCTTCCCCCGCAATTTCTGCACTCTTGTGTTTAGGAGGTGTGCATTCAGTTTACTTGGCACATTTAATTTCTCCACCCCTAGTTTCTTCAAGTAATTCAGCGTCGGCTTCAAGCAGTACTCCACGTTCGAGAAGAGAAGTTCAGGGCAGTTAACGATCAGACCTCGCGATTCTTCTGTCGAAGCGCGCAAATCGTTGGCCAAGAATGCGAAGTTGGGTTCGAGTTCGAGGGTATCGAAGGTTGGAGAGAAGAGTTGGGGGCAAAAGAAGGCGAGGCGGGAGAAGTCGGAATCTGAAATGCCCTTGGATTTGAGGAAATTTACGGCGGCGATGATGTGAGCTAGTGCATCTGGAGAAATGGGCTTTTGGGGATTTGCAGCGGTGGGATTGACGATTCCGAGGGATTTGAGGTAGCGGAGATTCTCGCGGTGGGAGGTCCGGAACTTGATGTAGAGATGAGGAGTAGGGCGTGGAGATGGAGATAGGATTTGGGAATTTAGAGTTTTGGAGAGAAAGGAAGAGGAAGATGGAGGGAGGTAAAGGGAAGAAGAAAGCATTGAACTTTGGGGGGGGAGTTAGCCGGGAAGATGAAGTAGCTGGAAGCGAGTGGTGGGTGTCTGTGCTTCAGTTTCAGTTTTGCCTTATTATATTTACTATTAAAAAAAAAATTCTTCTACAAAAACCTTTTCTTAAAAATCCAAGCTTTATCACATTTGTTCTGTAAAAAAAAAACTAAAAGAAGAACAGGAAGGCGCAAGGGTTAATTGGGTCTTCATGAATTTATGTGAAAAGAAAATTAGGAAAAGAAATCAAACTAAAACAAGAAAATACTAAAACAAATATAAAATCAAGTAATAGAAATATATTTACCACCCAAAATGAAAAAGGAAATCAAAATCGGTAAACTATTTAGAGAAAAATATAAAGTTGAAATTAGTAAAGATATTTACTCAAAATCAACGACGAAGACAAACCATTAATGAGAAACCTATATAAATTCTATATTTGAACCATTACTCTGCAATGACTATACTCCCACTACTCCAGTATGGTAATAAACATAAATTGAAATAAAGTCTCCCAAGTCAATACTCTATTTTGGGTTCTTCTTTCTGAAGTTCAAACCGGCAAACCATCAAGGATTCAAGGTACTACTCATCTCTCTCTCATGTTTAATTAAATTGGTATAATATGTTAAGTTAAGATTATTATTATTATTGTATTTGATGCTTGCAGTTCAAAAGTTGATTGAGATTATTAGCTTTGTTGAAAACTGTTTGGTTCTTGAGAAAACTAAATAGAGTATGTATATGTCTGTGTTTCTATATGCGTGTAAAACTGAATGAAAGGTAGTTGGAGTATTGAGTTTATGATAATGTGCAGGAAGGAAGATGGAGAAGAGCATGTTAATGAATCAAGATGAAGAGGAGAAGCATTTGGAGTGCAACATCTGTTTTCAATCTCCCAGGGAGGCAGTTGTGAGCCTGTGCGGTCACCTTTTCTGCTGGCCTTGTCTCTATACATGGCTCCATTTTTACTCACCATCACAAACCCATCATTGTCCTGTCTGCAAATCTCCCATTCATCTCCACGAATTGATTCCTCTTTATGCAACACCACCAGTTTCTATCTCAGCTTCAGGTACCGCATGATCAAGACTCAGATTTAATTTTTCCGTTTTACATCCATATTATATGATTATCCCTTGTATAACCACAATGACTAGGCATTCACATCCCTGGCCGTCCAAGACCAGAAATTTCTCATCCTCCTCCTCCATATCCATCTCAATCTGGTGCGCGCAGACAACTCGTGTTCTGGGTAAGACAAGTTTCGCATTGGATCGACAACCTAATTATCATTCTGCTGTATGGAGTTCTCTTGCCAGGCTTAGTTGTATTGTGTTTCAAAGTTTGGACGCATGAAATAAGAAATGCCAATGGGTTTGGAGATGAGAAATCCGAGTTGGGTCACAGCAGGATGTTGTATAAGCATGAGGATATTTATTACTATAACCACCATGAAATCGGAGAAGGGCTGCTGCAGTCAAGTTCCTCCCCTTTGCAGCATTGGCTTTTCTTGTTTGTTGTTTGCATGTTGTTGGCAATTGAATTCAGAGTTGCAGGCTATTAACATATGAAATTTTTGGCTGATGATGTTGCAGTTTATATTTCTTGAGTTGAGTTCTTATGTTCTCGTAGTTATTGGTTGATTACTGTGTGAAATGATTTTTTTCTTTAATTTCAAAGTATCTACCTTCAATTTTTTCATCTTTTTTACATATATATATATTTATGAAGAAAAACATTGATGGAAATTGGAAACCAAAATCCTTTGAAAACTGAACATATAAACTCAAAAATAAAATTTTTTAAAGTTGTTTTCTTTGTAAAATCCCACTTTAGATCTTTTACATAAAAAGGGAAATGAATGAAACAATTAACAATTCACCCAGCTTCAGCTCACTGTTTATTTTCAAAAAAAAAAATTTGCCCAACTTCAGCTACTAATATTGTGTTTCCAGTGCTAATTTTCTTGTTGTCTATGGCAAAATCAGATGTATTCGGAATTTAGGGTTCATGAATTAGGACCTTAGGAAAGGTGATGTTTGCACCAAAAGACATCAATTTACATCTAGATCTTGACAAAGATAATTCTGAACAGAGACAGGCAACTTAATCTGCAATCTGAGAACCCATAAACAAAAATCAAGGTCCACTGACAAACACGAAGATCAAAGCTCAAATTCCAACTAACATAAAGATCAATATCATCCTAACAATTTTAGAGTACTTAGCAAATATTCCATAGTATAGATGTTCAACTACAAAAACAGTGGGGACCAAAATAACAATTTAATTTCCATCTCTTGGTAAAGAATCAGCAGAACTTCTTTCTCCAACAGTTTCACAAATCTTGAACGCTCAAGCCTGCAGTAACGAATTTATCGCAACAAGTCAGTCATTTTGATGAGGATAATGGAATCAGAACTTCTAATATTACTACAAGAAGAAACCCATCAACAGGAAATAGTACTTTTTATGAGGAGACCTTGAGTCTCCTCTATCTAGAATGCATGAGGTGATTAGTAGGCCCAATGGTTCGGTCTACTTCAGTCTCTAGTTACTTAACTTGAGGCATACCCAAAAGTGTTTGTTTCTTTTCCTTTTTTTCTTGGGTGACAACATGTTCATTTATACTCGTTTTTTGAATGACATCTTCATTTCTACCACCTTGGGTTTTAAATGTTTTTGTCTTTGCAGATCCAGATTTAAAAAAATAACGATAAACCAAAGTAAAGCAAGTTAATAAGACCTGGAGGAAGGGACTGCTTCAACTTGTCAGCCTTCTCGGAGTCGAACACACACAATGTGTACAAGTACTTGGAGCAGCGAACCTTGAACTTGACAACATCTTTGCTCCTCTTGATTTTCACTGACCGTGCATCTTTCCTTCTTGCAGTAAGGAGAAAATCCTTGATCTCGTGGATTTGCTTGGGCTATATATCAGAAATATATAAAAAGGCTTAAAAACAGCAGCAAAGAAAAATAGTAAAAGACATAAGAAAATCAGTAAAATGGTTGGCCAAGTGACAGAATGCCTTACTACCAAACCCACATGGAAAATATAACCAGACGAACAGCTAAGAAAAAAATGAAAAGTGATTGCATGATACAGAATCTCATCCACCTCATTAGCTAATGAAAGGGGATTACATGAACATTAGAACACATTATATATGAAACAAAACACTATAGATTTGCAATGATAAATGTTTTCTTAATGTTTATAGATATCCTAAAGATCAAACATCGAGTAATGCGGAACCATTGTTCTTCACGTCCCAATTTAACAACAGAGGTTCCCATTGACAACATTTTCCGCTATCAGTATCTAAATAAGCAAGCCAGACAGTCAATCCCTTCTCACATGAATCAAAACGTAGGAACTCATCAGTTCAAAGTTTTCCCTCCTTATCAACATACAGACTGTGACAACCAATAAATAATCCCAAATAATCTAGATGAATTCTTTTGATCCTTTTGCACTTTTAACCTAAATATATTGTTTTTTGTTTACTCCAGCTGACCAATATAAGGTCAGAACTAGCAAGCTATTGAAAAACCATAATTATAAACACAAGTAAGTCTATATAAAACTTTACCCACAAACTGGTTTCTGCTAAAGGAAAAAAAAAAGACGGGGCCGAGATGACAACAAAAGCAAGCACACTCTTTGACCAAGAAATGATAATCGATTACCAACACTAAGAAACATACATGCATACAAAGAAAAATCACATAAGCCATATATATATACACATACACACACACATAAAAGAGAGAAGAACAAAAAAAAAAAAAAAAGAGAGAGAAAGCCAACTTAGATCTTCGCTTATTACATAGTAGCATTCAGCATTCAAGTTTGTACTGCAGAAATAACTATGAAAATCAAATAGAGAATAAGCTATACCATTGTAACTGTGAGGTTTCAATTCCTCTTCCTTCCTGCGAAAAGTTAGCAGAGCCGCCCCAACCCTAGTATCTGCAAAGAAGTTTCGGGTATATATTGCACTCTGGTTATACCCTAATGAAAACCCAAGAACATTAACGTACTCATTTCCAATTTTAGCCCTGTTCGTAGAATATTATTACGGTCATGTCCTCTTTGATGGGCTTAATATCTGAACTGGGCTTTCAAACCGGATTATATAAAAATAAATAATCCTGCAAATATCTCCTTAACGGGATAAACCACCCAGCAATGGTCGTTATACAGACACTTCACTGCATCACCTGCCACCTCTAACCAAACCAGAAATAACCCAAATCCTAAATTCTTCATCAATGAAAGCTCTACTCCCCACGAAAACCTTAACTTCATCTCTACTCAAAACCCACGTCCTCATAAAATCTCCTCTTTATCGCGCTAGTTTCAGTCCCCGCCTCCACATTCTACGCGCCAACAAAACTCTCCGTTTCACCATCACTTGCAAGCTTAATACCTCTAAAGATGCCGCAGAAAAGGCAAAGAACATCGCTAAGAAGATTGCTTTACCAGATACTGCGCCATCAGTAGCGGAGAAGAAGGATGGGAGCAATGAGAGCGTGGAGGTTCCGACGAAGCGTGGTAATTCCGGTGGAGTTTTGGGGTTGGTGAAGAGGTTTCCTAGAAGAGTTTTGGCTGTTTTGTCTAATTTGCCTTTGGCTATTGGGGAAATGTTCACTGTTGCTGGTCTTATGGCTCTTGGTATGTTGGTCTTTTGCACTTTCAAATAATTTATTCATTTGTGACTAATTTATGAAAAGCTGTTGCAATTTGGTAGATTGGATAGTAACTAGAAGCTCTTAAAATTTTAAGAAAATCACATTTTCTTCTTGATTTGATGTGAACGGTGACTAGGATCTCTGAAGATTTAATGAGTTAGGATGAATTGCTGACCTGAGAAATGCCATTCCAGGGGCACTAGTTGTATTCTATTTTAGCTTGGATGTTCCAGAATCTAAGCTCTTACTCTTTTGGCTTCAGGTACGGTGATTGATCAAGGTGAGGCCCCTGAATTCTACTTCCAAAAATACCCAGAAGATAATCCAGTTCTCGGATTCTTCACGTGGAGATGGGTTCTCAATCTTGGGTTTGACCACATGTATTCATCCCCCATATTTCTTGGAATGTTGGCTCTCCTTGCAGCATCACTTATGGCTTGTACGTATACAACCCAGATTCCCCTAGTTAAGGTTGCAAGAAGGTTTGATGCTTTCTGCCATGCCAAGTTGTTTTCAGGTGAAAGAAAGTAGAAAAAACTAATGTTTAATGCAATTGTACGATATATATGTAGATGGAGCTTTTTACATTCAGCTGAGGTTATCCGAAAGCAGGAATTTTCTGAAACCCTGCCAAGAGCATCAGTTCGAGATTTAGGTGTTATTCTGATGGGAGCTGGATATGAGGTTATAATCTCATATCCTGATGTTCAATTATCTTATTCCTTTTTCCTTTTAGATCTTTTGTCATTCTTTTCCCTTTTTTTAAGAAATTTGAATACTTACATCAAATATGTTTGAGCTTATAGTGTGTATAAGACAACAAATATATGGGGTTTTGATAGTTTAAACATTTTCTATTTGTTATGGGTGTTTAACAGGTGTTTCTAAAAGGCCCTTCGTTGTATGCCTTTAAGGGGTTGGCTGGAAGATTTGCTCCTATTGGAGTACATTTAGCAATGTTGCTGATAATGGCAGGTGGAACTCTTAGCGCACTGGGAGCTTTAGAGGTTCAGTCACAGTTCCACAGGGGCTGAATTTTGTGGTTGGAGATGTCTTAGGCCCATCCGGTTTTCTCTCCATCCCAACCGAAGCTTTTAACACAGAAGTTCATGTTAACAAGTTCTATATGGACTACTATGAGAGTGGAGAGGTAGATTTTGGCTTTGTTCTGTCCAGAAAACTGCATAGAGGGTGCCCTGCAAAAGAGTTAAAATTATTCTATATCAGTGCTCTAGAGTGTTTGAAACCTCCCGATCATTTTCTCCAAGTTGTTTGAAACCTCCTGACCGTTATCTTACGACGTTTTTTACTTTATTTTTTCAATTGATTCAACAAAAAGTTTGATAGTTGGCTTTAAGAATTTATCTACTTTATAATAAGGCACTCTCTTTATGTTTTCATTATAAGTGGTTGATCTTAAATATCTTAATATACTTCTTTCCTTGGCTTTTGGGTTTCACCAATACTAAGTTCTTACTTATATGTTGTTCCATCCTACTACAGGTATCACAGTTCCATACTGATCTCTCACTATTTGACCTCAGTGGGAAGGAGGTTCTCAGGAAAACAATTAGTGTAAATGATCCCTTAAGATATGGTGGGATCACCATCTATCAGACGGATTGGAGCTTTTCAGCACTACAGATACTTAAGGATGGTGAAGGACCATTCAATTTGCCTATGGCTCCTTTACAGATCAACCGAGATAAAAAGCTTTTTGGGACTTTCTTACCAGTTGGGGACGTAAATTCTCCTGATGTCAAAGGAATGTAAGTATGTGTTTCTCATGTAGGCTCTCTTTAGTACCAACGTTTCAATTTCAGCTTATACTCATTTTTCTTTTAATTCCCAAAGACAGTCGAAGGAAGCAAAATGAACCTTGGCTTTTAGAGCCTGTGAAGTGTCCTTTAAATGTGCCTTTCTATCACCTCCTATATCTGTATCCTTTTAGTTATATTTTCTGCATTTTCCCCAGAACTGCCTACAATACCCTTTCCTCTACACCTCCCTTGTAGAAGACAGCATACAGAAACTCTTTCTGCATTTTTCATCGTGGACATTGTCTGAGTTGATTATGCACAGTTATCTTGAGAATCCAAGATCAGTTATAATCTGGTTTTTGATTGGCTATTTGCAATAAAGAGCTATCTGCCTTTGGTCCACCTTGATAACTTGGCTTAAATTCCATTTCCCTGCCTATTTCCTTTTGAAACTTCAGATCAATGTTAGCTCGTGATCTACAATCAATTATCCTGTATGCTAAAGATGGGAAATTTGCTGGAGTTCGACGACCAAATTCCAAGCTCCCTATCGACATTGATGGTACAAAAATTGTCATTCTAGATGCAATTGGCAGTTCTGGTCTTGACTTGAAGGTAACAACTTAAAAAGCTTCGAGACCAGTTTTCTTTGGATGCATAAGTTCATTCCTGTAAATACTAAACCTTTTCCTTGACAGACCGACCCAGGGGTGCCAATTGTGTATGCCGGATTTGGTGCTCTTATGCTGACAACTTGCATCAGTTACTTATCTCATGCACAGGTAAAACTTTGATCTTGTTTCATGCAAGAGTTACTTTTGTACTTCTGCCGAGAATGTAAGAATATGGACCGAAGTACTTTACTATTGATTATTATATTTTCCAGGCACTACAGCCTTTATGAAATTAGGTTCTTAGATCATATGCTTCCTTTACTATGACTGTCCTGCTACATTATTAAACTACAATTCGAGCTTATCAAATGTAATTTTTTTAACTACTTTGTTCTATTGTCGTCCTGAAGATATGGGCATTACAACTAGGAAATGAAGTAATTGTCGGAGGGAAGACTAACAGAGCCAAAGCTGAATTTCCTGGTGAAATGAACAGTCTGCTTGATCAGGTTCCTGAAATAGTTGAATCCTCTATTTCCGAGCAGTCTGCTAGTACTAGTGGCTAATTGAGGGATCTCTGCAAGAAAAAAAGAAATTTGTGTGACGCTTGAGGCAAACCAGTATCCCTCCTGTCCAATTTGATTGTCCAGCTTGCCAATTAGCAAGACACTTGATCTCGGATAACTGATCGCGCTAGATTCAGTACTTCAGGCGAGGAATTGTGTTCCATATTTCCAGTGTGTAGAACTGTCCTACCCAGGGCTGAGATTCCGAGCCTTGAGGTTGTATACTACCTTTATCAGTTACCAAGTTGCTTATTTTCCTTTGAGATGATATGCTCTCTTCCTGTGATATCAAGTGGCGTACACCCATATAAAGTTCTAACCATAATGATTCAGAAGCATTAGACTGTAAAAGATTCATATATTGAAGTAAATTTTTTATTGTAAATGATCCATATCTTGAAATAAAATACTATTGAGAATACTTGAAATTATACAACTCTTTCTCTCTCTCTCTCCCTCTCTAAACATAAAGAATAGCATGCAGGCACGCTCGTGCACACACACACACATTGAGATGCACCTAAACACACATACACGTAGGGATACCTGAACCCATTTGCATCGGGGTGTCATCTTGGATAAAACATAGGAATCACCATTTATTTGTATTTCCAGGACGATAACGCATAGGACCAACTTATCCTTTCATCATTCTAGTCTAACCCTTTCACACTGCAAATCATCCTTCACTTCACCCTTTCATTCTTTTGAGAAAGAAGACCTACATTCATTCAACACGACAAGCACCATCCTGAAAAAGCAGAGGTCATGAACAATCATCCTTCACTTCTTGAAATCCAGCTTTGGAAAAATACTTATTTTGAGGTCACCACAATTGTCTCCGTATAACAGGATATCACTAGGATCAGGCTGGTAATTTCTAGCTGCTGCCTTGATAAACATATACATATCAAGACTCAGCCAGAGAGTTTCAATGTTCTTAACTTTGCACATATATATTGTTGAAGAATATAATCAGGAATGTTGGTTCTTTGTCTTCTCCGGGTAATCGAATTGTTTTTTCTTTCTTGTTTTGCACTTTTCAATCTTTATAATCTTTTGCATTTTTAATTGAGTCATTAGCAAATTCACCCTCAAATCTTGAATACATAAAATCATTTGCATTCTGCATCGACCTCAAGGGCTGATACATCGATAATTGACCTGTTATATTATATTCAATTGTATACTTAACTGAACCCATATGTCTAATGTGTATGTGTGTGTGTATACACAGAGAAAGAGAGACATGTCGTGTTATGTACACATCTGCATTTATAGAAGCAGGTTTGACACAGATGCACGAACCACTGATATTTTTCATTCATCTTGTCCGGACAGCAAGACTTATATGGAAGAAGAAAAAACAAACAACTCTTTTTCGAAGCAGAACAAACAACTTGCGGTCATATAAATTTATGAGTCTCATATTAAACTACTGGAAGTTACAAACTTTTATTTC